ATGAGAGAGGAGAGTATGTTATTAGAAGACATGTGATATCTCCTATATTTAGAATAAAATTTTATGGTAATGAGCTAATCTTTATATATTGATAAAGTGTCTACTGTTACAAAAGCACATCATAGAATCTGAAGGTTAGAAGGGACATTCGAGGTTGAAGAATCTACAAGATCCCTTCTGATAGCATCTCCACCAGGGGCAGTCCAGCTTCTGCTTAAGAACTTTCAATGGGTGCAACTTTCAGAACTCTGGGGGCTGATTGACAAGGAGGAGGAACCGGCAGGATGTCTGGTGCTGGGTAAACATAAGATGGTGCTGCCTGAAGGATGTTTAGTCACTTTTGTCTCAATGGTGGCACATACAGCATTAAGCTAGAGGCTGGAGCTCTTAGTATCATTTAGCTTTTGCTGCCTAACCTTGCCAAACTTTCATGTTTTACAAATTATAACTTGAGTGTCTGTGGTAGATTTAAGATGGCCAGAGATTATTTGGCACTCCTCCTGTTGAAAAGTGGAGTCTATGCCCCCGCCCTTTGAGTCTGGCTGACTTCTATGGCTGCTGTGACTAACAGAAGTCAATAAAAGTGTTGCTGTGCCAGTTCTCAGGTACAGCGCAAATAGATTGGCAGCTTCCATGTTCTTGCAACGCTCTTTGAGAGTCCCAAGGCATGATTGAAGAAATTGACTCTCTTGAGACTGGCATGCTAGAGAGACTCTGTGACTGATGAGCCCAGTGTTTTCCCGTTTCTTTCAAGGCATTGGATTTGTACTTAAGCCCCTCCTGACTAGCCCAAGCACCAGCTGAATTACTGCTGAGTGACCTTAGTTGATGCCTGATAGAGCAGAAGAATCACCTCACTGATCCGGGCCCAAATTCCTGACCCATGAAATTGTGAGCTATGACAAAATGGGTATTTTTAAGTCACTGAGTTTGAGGTACTTTGTTCCACAGTCATAGATAACTGGAATGTGTCTGTGGGATCGGTGAAGGTTGTCTGATCTGGAGTGGCCTCCGCTGGTCTCACCTAGGCTTGCTCATGTCTGTGGGTCATTGGGGACTTTCATTTCTAGACCGTGTGTGGCTAGGGAAGCTTACCTGGGACAGCTCTGCAGCACGTGTCTCTTCTCCTCCTTTGTGACCAGCAATCCCAGCCACACATATCCTTGTCATGGCAGTGGCCACACCCCAAGACAGCAAGTGGGAACGTGTAAGGGCTCTTGAGATCTAGGCTTGGAAATGGCACCCTGTTACTTCCACCTCATTCTATTGGCCAAAGTCACATGGCTAAACTCAAACTCAAGGGACTGGACTATATAGACCTTATATGTTTTGTGGGAGACTGTGCAAAATCCGTTTATCAAACAGCCTGAGTACAGGGAGAGGTAAAAAATTGGAGACAATAATGCAGTCTACTATATTTACTTTATCTCAGTTCAGCAAAAATTAACGGGATATATTATTTGCAAATATTATGCTAGTCACTAGGAATGCAAAAAACAAAAGAGATCTGACTTTCTGCTTTTGAAATACTTGGAGTTTAGGCAACCTCCAGGATGAGTAAAAGGGCTTCCTGTATTTAGGTTGATTGGGGACCTCAAGCTTCTTTTAGCACTTTACTTCTAACCCCTCTGTTAAGATTTATATGTGCATTAAACTTCAGACTTAGCACTGGTTTATGTTTTACTATTTTAGTGACTTAAACTTTGGTCAGAAGCCCCTGCTTTCTTGATTCACTGTGGAAGTTTTGTTTGGTTAGGTTTTTATGTTTTTACACAAACATGAAATAATTTTAAGTAAAAATTAAGTACGTATTCACCGTCAATCAAGTTGCTGTCAACATTTGCTGCTATATTTTTCAAAAGGCTTCATGTTGACTTCATCTTCAAACTCTTGGGGTGCCTCATCCTGGTCTTAAAGTACTGACCACATTATCCTTTAACCTCTATATTTAAATTGGGAAGCATGAAGCCACAATGCAAAGAGAACATATATGAGGACAATGCACAGCCCCGAATAGGGACACTGAATACCTTCTTTATATTGGTGAGTTCTGCTCTCTCCTTTCTGTAGTCCTTCATTCTCTTGTCAGATGTGCAACGTTCCATTCTGTAACTTTGTCCTGCATTAATATGCTCTACTGCCAGAGCCAGATTTCTCATCTCTCCTGCTCTTCATATCTCCTATTATGTTCCTGTTTCCTGTCTGTGGGAAGCCACTTTCTTCTTCGGAAGGGTCTCGAGTTGAGCTCCACGAAGGCTCCAATTCAGTTCATTATGCAGCATCTCTGATCACTCCTTAATCCCCAGCAGCATGGCACAGTGGGAAGTGCATGGGCTGACTTTGGAGTCAAAAGAGACCTAGGTTTTTGTTTTTGTTTTTAAATTATATTTATTGGGGTGATATTGGTTAGTAAAATTATATAGGTTTAAAGTGTACATTTCTATAATACATCATCTATATATTGCATTGTGTGTTCACAACCCAAAGTCAAATCTCCTTCTGTCGCCATATATTTGACCCCCTCTACTTTCTTCTACCTCCCACCTCCCACCTTACCCTCTGGTAACCACTAAACAGTTGTCCATGTCTGTGAGTTTTTGTCTCTTTGTTTGTTGCTTTCAGTTTTATATCCCATATACAGTGAAATCATATGGTTCTAACCTCTCTGTGCCTCAGTTTTATACTCCATTACATGGGCAAAGCAAATCTTGCATGGTTCATGTGTGATGTCATTGCAGTAACAATGATAAAGTGCCTGCTGGACAATGCCTGCTGTATTCTCAGTGTGTTTCCTTCCACTCCTCATCCCAACAGCTATGTTGTATTTGCCATCACCTCAGAACTTGTTTATAAAGAGGCTATTACAACATGTTTTTAGGGTCAAAAATACTTTGTATGCATAGATGAATAACACAGGTACATTTTAGTAAGTAAAAAAGGATTAATTTCCCATGTAACCTCATTTGTTTAAGAGAACATAAGCAATGTCTTAGAGCATTAACACTCAGCATTCTACAAGCTCGAATTCTTATAACGAAGTGGTGAGATAATGAAAAATTACCAATATTTCACTTTGGATATGTTGTACATTGCATATTTCCTATATTTGGTTGTTTACTGCAGACAAAATTCTTAGAAATGGGGCCAGGTTTTACTTATCTTTATATTCTACAACCCAATATGGGACCTGACACTTCTTAGATGCTCCAATAAATGTTTGTTGAACAAATGAATCTTTCATTTAATGCAATTATGTGACCTAATGAAAGTTAGTTGTCTGATTTTTGTTGGGGCTGAGTTTGGCTGACTGATGCAAGGGAACCATGTTTTAGGTGCTCACTCTTGTTGGGTGGGGGCAGTGAGGGTGCAAGTTCTGTATTTGGAGGGATGCTGTGTGACCCTCTGCCCTTCACACTTTCCTCTTTGCTTTTGTTGTCTCTCATCTTCTGTACTAGGTTGTAAACTCCCTAAAGGACAGAGACTGTGGAGTAGGTTCAGTGTCACCACATATCATTCTTCAGTGCTTGTGACATTGACAATATTCAGTAAATACTAGTTGAAGGGAAGTTAACATTTTTGGATTTATGTATGATTTTAGAAATGCAGTATTTTATCTTTGTCCTTTCTCATCTGGTCTGATTTATATCTGTATTTTCCATAGCTTTTCCATCGATCCTTACCCTTGGATTTATTGTTCTTTAATCTCATCCTTATAAATGCTGTGTGATTTGTGGGAAAAGGCTGGTTGAGGCTTTGAAATTAAACAGACCCGGATTTAAGTTTTGAACTTATAACTAACTGGTGGTGTGATCTTGAGCAAGGTATGTAACCTCTTGATGCCTCTTCCCTCATCTGTGAAGGTGAATGATAGTGTGTCATCTACCTGCCAGAGCTGTTTTGAAACCAATTGGATTGATGAATGTAAGGCACCTGTTCATACTAAGGACTCTCTCTCTATAGTAAATGTTATTACTATCCTTATTTCCATTCTCTTTTACTATTTATCCTAACTACTCCTTCCTTTTTCAATAAAAAAACCATGCATTTTAAACCCTAGCTTTCCTGATCACAGCCACTGGACTGCTGGGAGTTGCTGGGTAATGGAATACAATGAACCATCAAAACATCACTCCATTGGGAACCTTATATCCTATCACTTTGATCATTGATAAAAGCCTTAATAAGAAAACCACTATTTGCCCCATTAAAATAGTAGAAGGATAAGGGTGATTTTTTAGAAAAAAAAGTCCTCAAATTATAAAGCAAGGAACTGGAGAGTTAAATGACATGTAAAGAATCTAAGGACATAGCATATATTTAAATTTATGATTTTTAAATGTGTTCTCTCCCTCTCTCTCTCTCTCTCTCCCTCCCTCCTTCTCTCTCTCTCTCTCTCTCCATTTATTACAATGGATTCTAAAAGATTGCTTTTACAACAAGACCATTATCTCTAGTAGATTTAAGGATTATTTCACTATTTTCTTGAAATAATTGAGGTTGCTGGATAAATTATTCAGCTCAATATTTTTCATCTCTGTCTAATACAAATATATTTGATTCCTATAAATCTGAGTAAGGTCAGTCGGGAAATTATGCATATTTGTTTTCCCCAGGGTATATGAGCTATTAAGTCATGTTGCATTTATTATAGATCATGTTTGCTATTTGGCAAGATAATTTGAATGACTGAGAACGATATTTTAGAACATGTAATACAAGGAAAACAACCAGAAAGAGAATTGAAGCAAAACTTTCCTTATAATAAATATTTTAAGTAAATAAAATATTCTGTTGTGATTCAAGCACACATTTGCATATAATATACATAAAACTATCATTCAATATTATACATACTGTTCATTTTATGGTTCATACATGTATATATATATATATATATATTTCTCTTGTATAAGTACATATTTATATCACTTAGTCTATTCATTTCGATCTCATGTAATATGGACATATATTCCCATTATATCTTTCTTACAGCCTCAATTATGTGGATGTTTTCTTGGCTTTGTGCCATTTTAATTATTTTGGCTATTGCTAGCATGGACACATTAGCAAAGACCACACCATATACCAAGTTTACGAAGAAATCTGAGGGAAAAGAGATGCTGAAAGACCTAAAGCCAGCCAGTGACCTACCTCTGGGAGAAGAAGAGGAAAGCCCCTTCACAGAAGAGACTGACATGGCAGAGCCAACTCCTGACCCCTCCATCCTAGATTCTGCCTTTGGAACTGCCACTCTCTTCCCCTTTGAAAACTTCACTCTTGACACGGCTGATTTCTTTTTGAATTGCTGTGATTGTTGTTCATCCATACCAGGACAGAAAGGAGAGCCTGGAAAGACCGGAAAGCCAGGTATTTTGAAAATAGACGAAGCCCCATTTCTTCCCTGTCTGTCCTTAGGGTTGAGAGAGGTGGATTGGAGGTGGAATTGCCCCAAGGGTTTCTACATTATCATGCTAATTGTGATAGGATTAGGTATAACAGTGTGACAAATGCAAACAGCTACTGTGTGCCTAGTGTGGTAGCCACTAGCCTCGTGCTCGGCTATTAATAAATATTAAAAGTAAAATTAAATAAGATTAAAAATTTAGTTCCTCAATCACACAAGCCACATTTCAAGTGCTCAATAGCCACACACGGCCAATAGCTACCCTATAGGACAGTGCAGATATATAATATTTCCATCACTGCAGAAATTTTTATTAGACAGTGCTGGTTGGAGCAGAGACCAGGCCGCCCCCCCCCCCGCCCCAACCCCAGCACAGATGTGTAGCTCTTCAAGTCACCCTTGTCCACTACCAGTACAATCTTTTTGTTAATGGCTGATACAAAAAGGGAAAATGAAAATTCTCTTATCTGGTAAAAATGTGTGCTGACTAATAGATTTTTGGAGTGAAATTTGTGGTTAGGATTAGATATGGAATGCTTGTGAGGTGGAGAATAAAGCCAGGATTCAGTTTGCTTCTCATTGAAATTCTGAGTCAACACTGTATCTTGCCCAGCAATTTTCTCTGTTGAGCGTCATGGTTACATATTTCAAAATTTCAGATGTCTTTTAAATATACATTATGAATGCACTCTCAGTTTTACTGTAATACATCTTGGCTTTTACATGTCATATGGCAGAGAATTCAAGATGAAACTGAGATCAGAATGTCAATTGCAAATTCACTATTCCCTAAAAAAAATTACATATAAATATTTGTTGCAGCTTGCCTGAAGAATTTAAAGTTATAAAATCAGGAATTATACATCCTCATTAAGCTTTTGATTCATCTCATCCAATTGTAGGAAACTTTTGGGAAATGTGATCAATATTTATGCAGAGCTGAAATGAAAGGGTAAAGGAATTGGGCAGTGGTTCAGCACACCAAGAATTCAGGGTTGCTAAATCATTATTGGAAATGTAATGAAGGGCTGGCCCAGTGGCTCAGTTGGTTAAGAACTTGCTTAAGAGTACGAGCTCTGAGCAACAGGGCCACCGGTTCGATTCCCACATAAGCCAGTGATGCTGCACCCGAGCTGAGCTGCCGCTGAGCTGCCAACAGGTGGCAGGATGGCTTAGCTGGTGAGAGTACGTGCTCCTAACAACAAGGTTGCCTGTTCAAGATGGTGGGCTATGCCCACCCACAACTAAAGACTGAATTTGGCACTTTGAGCTGAGCTGCCACCCGGGTGGCTCAGAGGATAGAGAGAGCGCTCTTAACAACGAGGCTGCTGGTTTTACTCCCGCATGGGATGGTAGCTATACCCACCAGCAACTAAGAGTAAACTCGGCACCTTGAGCTGAGCTGCCACCCAGAGAGCTCAGTGGATAGAGCGTGCGCTTTTAGCAACAAGGCTGCTGGTTCGACTCCCACATAGAATGGTGGCTATGCCCACCCACAAGTAATTGAACACAGTACCTTGAGCTGAGCGGCTCGACTGGACTTGGAGCTGAGCTTGCTGCGCCCCCCACAGCTAAGATTGAAGAACAACAACTTGTCTGTTCCCCTTCCCCAATTCCCCAACACTGTTCCCCTCCCCCAATTCCCCAATAAAATCTAAAAAAAAAAAAAATTAATGAGACTGTGAGACTGAGAAAATTTTATTTACAGGAATTTCTCTTAGTATCATATCTGACTGGCAAGCTGCTTGGGGGTGAAAACTCCCAAGGGCATGGTGAAGTAAACACAGCTGGTTGCTAAACTGTCTTTTAAGGCTGGGGGTCTGTAACATCAAGGCTTGTGTTTTACCCATTGGTGGGCTTAGATGGTCTGTTCTCAGAGCTCAGCCTCTCCTCTAAATACATATGACAGGTACTTTGAAGGCGTGCCAAGTTATTAGCTTGCCCAGAGAGCCCATATGTCTTAGTGTGACTGGCTCTGCATAGAGCACAGTGCTTAAGAGGTAAGAAGGCTGAGTGTATCATGGGCCTACCTTGGGGAAACTTCATTACTTCTCTAAATCACAGTTTCCAAAAGAGTAAAATGGGGTAAGGATAGTACCAACTTCAGAGAGTCATCAAGAGAACTGAATGAGTTCGTACATATAAAGACTCAGTGTGGTGCCTGGACTAGGATAAGTGCTCAATAAACTGTTTATTTTTTCAGTTAGCTGTAGTAGGAGGCTTTTCCTATTTCATGAAATACTCTGCGTCTGATAGGATCCTGTTTTTGAGATTCATAAAGACGTATTTGTTTTGGCTTTATCAGTGCTTTCAAAAGCAGAGCTTTGTTTTTTAAATTAGAAATCTAGTATAACAGCAACATTAAACTTGAAAATAAAAATAAACCTACTCAAATCCTAATTTGTTCCTTGGATCGTAGCATAATACCATTTTGTTAGGGATGTCTCCTCTGATTCTTTACATCACTAACCACAGTGTGGCAATTTCTATTTATTTGTGTGGTTATTTGTTCAATGTTTCTTTCATGGACTCTCAACTCCCTGAGGGTAGAGACTGCTGGAATTTTTTTTTTAAGTTTTTGTATGAATCTTTTAAAAAATTATAATTGACTTATAATATTATATTAATGTCAGCATAGTGATTCCACACTTAGGAAGTGATCACACTAAGCCTAGTAACCATCTGTCATCACACATGGCTATTACGGTCTTATGGACTACATTGCTTATGTTGTACATTACCTCCCCATGACTTATTTATAACTGAAACTTTGGACTTCTTAATCCCTTTCCCCTTTTCCACCTATCCCTCCACTTCCTCCCCTCTGGCAACCATCAGTTTGATCTAGGGGCTGCTGGAATGTTGATGACTGATTCCTAACACCTAGCAGGAACTACGCTGGTTTATAGGAAGCCTGGCACTGGTTCCTGAATGAGTGCGTGAGTGAATGAGTGGGAAAACCAATAGTGCTAGGTATTGTGGTTTTACTTCCAACTTGAATGTGTGGTCCACTTGAAGGTAAGAGTCAGATAATCATTTTGTTCTTGTTGTTTGATACAGTGCTGCTTCCCTGAATCATTAGATCACTGCCATGAATCCAGTGACAAGTACTAATGTGCTCTATTTATCTATTCAGGTAGTACAAAACTGCAAACCTGACAAAAATATTGTCCTCAGAACTCTGTAGTTGTTTATTCTCATCCAGATTTTATCATTAAGACACTGACAGTCATTGGTCTTAGTAGAATGGCTGCTTTTTTTTTCTGAACTGATGAAATGCAAAAGAGAATTTTTCTATCTCAATGGTTTTAAAATCTCATTTCCAGGTCTTAAGGGAGAGGCTGGCGATATGGGGATCCCAGGGCGACCAGGAGTTGCTGGACCCCAAGGTCCAAAAGGCCAGAAAGGAGAGAAGGGTAGGTAATGACATTCATTTCATGTCAAAACTGAAGGGATATTCTGCATCGTTTTGTAGAGAGCAATTTGCTCAGTTAATGCCAGGTTCTTGCAGGTGCATCAGTTTTAAAAATATAAAACTTGGCTAAGCATTTGTGAGTTATATTTGACATTATATGTTATATGTTAATGTTATATGTTATATGTTAACATAACATTATATGTTAACTTTATAAATAGCCAACTGAGAAATTTTAAACTTGGCCAGTAACATCTCTCTCTCTCTCTCTCTCTCTCTCTCTCTCTCTCTCTCTCTCTCACACACACACACACATACACACACACAAGCTCTCACACATCTTTTCTATTTCTTCTCAGCCTTCCAGCTGACCCAGTGACTGGGACCCACGGGGTATCATTTCTGGGGATGGATCCTTCCCTATTTATACCCATATGAGCTCTTTTTCATTATGCAAATTAATTTCATACTAGATAGAACTAACTAGAACAGGCCATTTTCTTCCGTTTGGGTGGGTAGCCAGCCTGCTAAGGAGAATATGACATATCTTTTGGTTCATTGTCAAATCAGGGGCAGTATCAATGGTGGGAGGAGAACAAAATTCAAATGGAGGAGATCTAGCACATAACAGTGACCAGTCACTTTACCTCACCTGGAAATTGAGAGGAATAGACTAGATATTTATTCATACCCTGTTTATTTTTCAAAGATTCGTAGCTATGTGTGCTTGCATTGGTTCTTTTCCAGCTCAGAAATGCTATAGTTCTGTAGATGTCTCAGTAAAGAGGGCATTCTTCCTGGGAAGTCCCTGGTTTTGTAAGTGCTTCAGGGTATTGAGGGCAAGTTACACATTCACTGGGATGCTGAGAAATTCCTCAGTGAATACCGCCAGCCTATAGAAATACCATCGATCCATCAAGTTAAGTGTTTCAGCCTCAGTGTCACATGTCAAAAGACCTAATATCATCTATACATCACCCTCCACATGGCTCAGGAACTGCCTAACTCATTTCTAGTAGAACATTCAGTGAAGTAATTATTCAAAAAAGATGCTCAGGTAAAGAGAGAACTACTTCCCACTTGTCAGTTATGCGATTTTCATTCTCAGAAACATGCAATCCCTTTGTGATTGAATTATGTTAGCAGAAAACCCTGTGAAATAAAGATGAGTGATGAACCTCCCCAGTGATTCATACATTTTGGAAGCTAGACTTCTGAAAGTAGAAGAAAAAACAGGGAAGTATCATAAAATAAGGTTCTTAAGGATATGCTTTGATGAAGGATCAAAAGTAGAAATTCATTCATTCAGCCAGTCGACAAAGTGGCACCTTTACTTTCTTTTTACTTCCAGACTTAGCTTAGACTCTTGGTTAAGATCAAAAGGTTAAAAAAATACATGAGTGAATGACTGCAGTCTGGCTAATCACAACCTGATTGAGTAAATTCAGTGTAAGCAGTTAAAATCTTTAAATGAACTCAAGAACCAGAATAACTCTCCAATAAAGGTCAGTCGATTAGTATTGACAAGGACTGGGAATAGAATTGGTCCTTCGCTTTCATTCAGGGTTGGGCTTTCTCCAAATACATACAGACACTTTTTCTGATGGCCTATGGGTTAATTTCCAAATGTTAAATTTTAAGTGGAATGGTGATGGAGGAGCTAGCTGCTTAGAAAACTGCTGAGTGGCTTATGGTGGGATTTCTGTAGTTGGTCTTGTGAAGTTCGGGGAGTCTTTTCTGATGACTTTTAATTTGACTTACGTTTTCTTTTTTTCTGGCAAAAATGAAACAAAAAATATTAGTCATATCATAAATACTGTGGTTGGAAAATCAATGCCAACCAATGTCATTTGCAGTGATGTTTTCTAAACATCACTCCACGAATTTCTAAACTTTTTCATATCTTAGTTTCTTCCATGATAAAAGCAATGACAACGTATCTGCTCTCCCTTTCTTGAAGGGAGGTGCTATAAACTTTTGTAAATGAAAACTGTTCTAATTGATGAAATGTACTCTGTAATCTGAGCCTCCCTGTCCCAGGATTTAACATCAAATAAAAAATAATATTAAATAAAAAAGGCTGGATTAAATTTTTAAAATCATGTGAAGAGCTTGGAACATTACCTGGTACAAAGCAGATGCTCAAAAAGAGTTAGCTATTATTATTACTATTGTCCTTGCTATTATTTGCAATAAAAATAAATCTAGTGTGGCAGCAATGTAACAGGATGGGCCTTTAGCCAGGTCCAGTATAAAACATCCATGTTGCAGTAATACGGCAAATATCTA